AAACCCCATAGGGCCGATGCAGAGCAGAGTCCTGACATTTTGGTGCCCCTACCTGTGGTGCTGCCCCTGCAGCACGAATTGCTCCAGCTCCTCCGCGATCCTCCCCACGAACTCATCTTCGTTGGGAGAGAGAAAAACGCCGTCCATAGGGCGCAGCGCCAGGGTGGCACCGGGTGGAGGGGGGGGCCTGGGGAGGGACGGGGACATTGAGGACGGCCGCACGCACCCCCTGCAAACCTGCGCCCCTGCAAACCCCAACCCCGTGCACCCAAGGCCTCTGCAAACCCCGCTGCAGCTCCACGCCACGTGCAAGCCGCTGCACCCCGCTCCGCTCCCCAGCGCTCTGCGCACCCAAGCCTGCGGCTGCACCCCGTTCCCCCGACACCCCTATGGGGGGAGGCGAGGTTATGCGCGCCCCTATAACCCTTCACCCCCCCAAATACCTCCGGCCCCTCCGATCTCTCCCCACAGCCGCCCCCTCCGCAGCGCCCGCTCCCGTCCCGGCCCCTTCCGTCGGGCACCGCCCCCCCTCTTCCCCCCGACCCCCCGCCCCCCCCGTCCTCCCCTTCGCCCCGCAGGAAGCGGCGGCCACGTGTGCGGAAACCGCGGGGACGCGCAGCCGTGCACGTGGGCGGGGGGAGGGGTTGCACCTCCCGGGGGTCCTTTGCGCCAATTCGACTCTTCCTTCTTCATCGCAGCGATTTGCGATAGGATCCAAGCGAACGGCGGCGATTTGCCGCGACACCCGACGAATCGCGGTGATTTCCCACGTCGCGCGCTTTTCCTCTCGCTGGAGCTTTTTGGACATCTTTTCCTCGGGGAAATCCCGCAGCCTGAGTTTGGGGCCAACCGAACCGAGCCAGGCAGCCCCGCAGGCGCTCACCGTGGCCCTGGTTCCACCTGTAGGAGCAGAGGAGATCCATGCCGTGGCAGCTTGGCTTGCTCTATGCAGCGCATGGTTGGCGCTGCCCGGAGCTCCCGTTGCTCACAATTATCTGTTAGATTGGCTGTGATTTCTTAAGAGATCCTTCCAGGCACTTTTGAGCCCCCCCAGACCTTTGTATCCCCCGCCTGGAGCCTCTGCCCAACGAGAGGAGCAGCTGACATCGGATGCCAAAGCAGAATCACGCAGCCTGCACCACTCAGCCCCTTCTGTGCTCAGTGCATTCACTTAAACACAGAAAAAAATAGATATCTATATTAAATAAAACCAATTTGGGGGCAACAAACAGCTCCTGCCCCATGCTGTTCCTTGTTTTGTGATTGCACAGAGCAGGACAGCCCTTTTCTTGGTCTCAGAGCATCCCTTCTTGCCTTTAAGCACCCTTTGCAGCCACGTTGGAAAGGTGGAAGCTCTGCTCCTTTTCCCCTGGTTGCAAGGTGTCCATGCTGGGGGAGCAGCTTTTGAGCCCAAAGGGACCTGGGTGCCTCTCTTGGTATAACTGGAGGTGTAATGGGATCCCAGTGAGATCCCACAACACCTCCAGCAGCACAGAATGGCTCTCAGAGCATTGGGGCTCTGTTATCCTGGGGGCAGGAGGAGGAGGATTTGGGATGGGAGGAGGAGGCTCCCAGTGAAGCTGTAGGGGAACGGAGAGAAGCAGCGAGCAACCGAGCATTCGAGTGGGACTGAAAGCTCTTCAGTGCAAATCAGGATGGAAACGTAGCCTGCAAGAATCTGTTGGTTTGATCTCTGAATAAGAGAGACGCGGCCGTGGCTCAGATGTGCGACCCTAAAGCAGTCGCTGCCTCCTGTCCTGAGCTGCCTGGCCACGATGCTGCACAGTTGGTGTTTTGTAGAATCACACAACATCCCAAGTTGGAGCAGCTGCGTAAACAGGGACCTGCTTTAGAGAAGTGCTGGAAACTGGCTGAGCCACAGAAGGGCAGCGAAAGCCCTTGTGGATTGAAGTAGCAAAGCCAGCAGGCAGCTCAGCATAACGCCCTTACCACACCGGTAGCATTTCTGTGACCTCTGCCTTTGCCATACACACTTCAGAAGAAAGCAGCAGCCAATCTATAGAGCATCAGCTCAGCTATGCTGTGATTTAATTAAGCTGAGCCAGTGACTCAGGCTCTGCACTATCCCAGCTGCCCAAGATGAAATGGAAACGAGAGCATCATTCTTCTTCCCACAAAGCAGCAGCTCACTCCAAAACCAAACAGTGCACTCACTCCGTGACAGCTGAAAGAAGCTGCTCCACGTTCCGCTGTTTATTTCGTGAGGGTTTGTTTAATTAAACAGCTAATTAAGCCTTTAATAAGTTCCACTGGGCTCGTGCCTATGCCAGGGACAGCAGCTAGATGGCACCAAGCGGCGGCGCGCGGCGGTAACGCTGCTCCTTTCCTTCTTCCCAGGGCTGCACCGGAGGGAAAGATCCCATCCAACTGCCCCGACACCATGGGCCAGGGCTGGATGAGGCCCCGATGGAGCTGTGGTGTCTCAGTGCAGTTGGATTAGATGGCCTTCAGAGGTCCCTTCTAACTCTAAGGGTTCTATGACAGCGGCATGCTCCCTGGAGACGCATTATGCCATGCAAGGATGCATGCATGCGTGCTTCCCAGAGTGATTTATTCCTATTCCCTGTACAGGACACAGAGATGACTAAGATGTGGGATGCTTCTGTTAGCCTTAAAGGGAGCAGTGATAGTGGTGATCTGCCCTGCAGCATTTAATGCACCCGAGGTTGGCACTGAGCGCTCACCCCGTGCTCAGGTCCCACGGCCTGAAGGCGTCCCAGGAAACCCATGGTCTGAGGAAGCCCCCCCTCTTAGGAGCTTAGAAACACCTGGACCTGATCCTTGCACCGAAAGAGATGTTCAGAGCTGGGTCAGCAAGGGGAAGCTGTGGTGGGGCCCAGAACATCACCTGCACTGCCACACACCTCGCGGAGGAAGGGCTGACAGCTCTTCTGCTGTAGGAAAGCAAAGCACAAATTTCAGTCTCCTGCTGCTGCATTGCACTGCACAGCTGCTACGTTTCCTCACTTCAGAGCTGCCATTTTTTCTGGGAACCAAGCGAGGTATTGCTGGATGCAGCACTCAAGTGTGATAAGATTGCAGTTCAGTGGCAATCCAGCTCTTGTTTCTTGTATTTCATTTTCTCACCCAGCGTCTCCATCACATTCCCCTCTTTGCATCAAAGGAAGAAAACAACAAGCCACTTAAATGAAGCAGCAGCTGCTTGGGCATTTACTCTTCTCCAGCTGTCTCTGATGCCTTACAGGAGACTTTGCTCCTCCAGCAGTCATTCTATGCTCTGTTCCCCATTAAGTTCCTACAGGAGGAGCACAAGCACTACTCATGTCGTTTAGAAACTTCCAGAGATGCTACAGACAACACAGAGCGAGCACAGGAGGAAGAGGCCCCTTTCTTCCTTCACCCCCCTGCAAAAATACTCTCTAGAGATCAGCAGCTCGCTCAGCTCTGACCTCTGGCTGCAGGAAACACGCTTGACTTGGTGAATTCATAGCTTGGTTCACTGAGCAGGAAGGAGGGCTGGTTTGGGCAGTGCTGATATGGCCGGTGTTCCATTCAGTCATTGCCTTGAGGCAAAAACAAAATCCAGCGACTTGCTGCTTGTCAGACAATAGGAACTGCTTTGAGACATCGGGTGGAAGGCAGTGTCTCACCCAGGAACCTCTGCAGTCACAGGACAGTCCTGGCAACGAGCTGCAAAGCGAAACAGAAGCACAAGGGACTCTGGTTCTTCCTCTCCCCTTTATTACATGTAGGCAGAAAACAGTGGTTTTTTTTCCTCCCCTTGGCTTACAAAAGAAAGGAATACAGAGAATGCTTTCAGGTGCAGCCTGGGCACACTGCTGGCTGACTGCAGGGCCTGCACCGCTCAGCAGGAGCGACAAGGACACCAAAGCAGCACCTGATGCTGCCCAGGATGTCTCTCCCAGCACTCTGGGGCTGAAGCTGCTTTGGCAGCAGCACAGCAACTGCAGGCCCAGGGCGCTGCTCAGCCGAGCGTGTGGAGCTCTGCAACTCAGGGCCAGGAGAGAGCTGAGAAACAGACACTGATGATAGCGAATACATTCCGAGTCAGGGAGAGGTGCAGAGAGGACTGCAGCTCAACAGAGCTCCGGGCTGCCCTGCCATACACAGGGCATGCAGGAAGCCCACGCTCCTTCTCTTCTCCTCCTGAAGGAATTCATTTATTGGGGTGCAGTACCAGGCTTTCTGCTTTTCCAAGTGCATACATAGCATAAAAAAGTGACCTGCAAAAAATAAAAATAAAATAAAATAAAGCAATGATTTCACTTCCCAGCCTCCAAAACCGTCTCCACATACTGTGCTTGGTTTGGTTTGTTTGTTTGTTTGGCAATAGAAACACGGGGTTTTATTTTGGGGTTTTCTGGTAACCCATCATCTTGTGGAATTGCAACACCAAGAGCACAAGCCGTTCAAACTGTTACACGAAACTCCAAACGAGAAAACGATGCAGCTTCTCCCCTCCCACCCCAAATCATTCCACAGGAGAGCTGGAAGCAGGTCGCCCTGCTGCCGCCTTGCCAACAAGGAAGATGCAAAGGCAGCAGGCAGCACAGATTTCAAGTAAGAGAAAGCAGGAAGCCGCACCGCAGCGACTGCAAGGCTTTGTCACTGACCTCAGCACCAGCAACTCCCTCAACTTCACATATTTTGCAGGTCTCCCTTTTAAGGCCTTAGTGTCATTACAGAAAGAGGAATTTTTTTGTCTTGTGCTTGCAATTGCTGCCCTCTAGCGCGGCAGCAACACCTCCTACAATTGTTACAGTGTCTAGTTGTCCACAACCGTGCAGCACACAGAGGGGAGGGACGGAACTACGGACAGGTGGTGAAGCTGAAGCTCGTTGCAGGTAACTTATGTCAAGGGCAGTACCTACGTGCCAAGTGTTCTAAACAACCACACAGCCAAACGTTGAGCAACTGCAATGCTGCTGCAACTCAGGTTCTCAACGTGAGCCACAGCAAAGAAAAAGAAAACCAAAAGAAATCAACAACAAGCACTGTTATGGACAGAGAGAGTTTATCTCCGCTGGGCAGAGGAGTGAACTGCGTTCCTGGATGTCACAGGTGACTGGAGATGACAGCAAGTCAAATTCAGACCAGTGCAGATGTTGGCACAGAGATGACAAACACCAGCTGGGGCCAGTTCCAGAGTGGATTGTCATGGCAGGAGATCCTGTTGCTTAGCAAAGTGATTTCATGAAGAAGAGGGGACCAGGACCCCCCCGTCCCAAAGTTTTAGTCAATAATTAAAGAGCCTGAAGACAACTTGTCAAACTGCAGCAACAGGATGCGGTCGGGTCTTTAGAGATCCAGTCCCAGAGCTGTTTGGGGTTCAGAGGAAGCCGATGGAGCATCGTGTGCCAAATCTATAAAGGAAATTGCAACACAACGCCATCAGTTTCCACCAGGACGAAGGATCGGATAATAAAACACAACAGCAAAGAAAATCCTAACCCTGTAACTGATCCTAGCCATGGCAATTAGCACGGCCTGCTGACACCCATACCTTCATCACAAACAGAGAGCTTTTCCAACTCAGCTTCAAGCTCAGCATCCAAAATGGCTCCTACAAATCCAGAATCCGGCTCCTTTGGGGGCACAGGGTGAAGGTGGACGGGCTCCTTAGCAGAGTCCTGGAGGAGGCTGTCCAGCTCCTTCTCCAGATCTTCCGAGTCCATCTCTGCCAATGAAAGAAAACATTTAGCTTCTAATGAAGTATCACCTTCACAGATGGATTGAAGTTTAATGGAGTTGTTATTTCTCCCCACCACCACTTCATTGTGAGTAATAGGGAACTCCTGGTGGCCACAGCTCCCTCTAACAGCAGTGGCGAGGACACAAGCAGAAGCTGAGAGCCCCAGAACTTACCCAAACCATTGACCCCTGCTCCAGCCAGAGTCTGGGCTACTTCATCTTGAGTATCACAAAGCTAGGGAGTAAAAAAGAAGAAGACAGTTTGTATGAAATTGAAGTCACTCTTGTCTCACTGTAATCCAGCTACGCCAAAAGTAGAAACAGCAACTAATAAATAAACCAGCAGTGGACCTCTTTTGCACTAGCTGCTGCTTCCACAAGTCCAACATGCCTGACTGTTGTTACTGCTGAACAGTTATGTGGAAGACAACTGAGTAAGTGCTGCAAGGGGAAATAAACCTGAAAAGGGAAGACATCCCTCCAGCTGTTGCTATTTCACATAAGCAACAAGCTTCCATCGAGGCTCATGCTAACAAAGGAAGGGGCAGATGAAAGCAGTTCAGCTAGGAGATTTTAACAGCCTTCCAGCTCAGCAGCTGAAGTCACTACACTTAAGCACATGGAGCTGAAGAAACAATCCTCCTCTGTTTTCTCCATCAGCTCATGCTGATTGCTCCCTTCACTGCCATTAATTCAGAATACACTCTTCTCATTTCCAGGAGAGAAACATTTTCTGAGAGCTGCATGCTTGCACAGCGCTGCTAACTGAAGAGCCAACGTGAGGTTTGCTGTGGCCAGCAACAAATGCAATTACATAAAACCAGACACAGACAGTTATTGGAATACCTCTGCTTGCTGGTCTGAGAAGACCAGGAATAACTCCATTTGTTCTGATGACACACAGGGCAGAAACCAAGCAACAACAGATGCTTCAAATCTGCTGGGCAAATGTGCTTATTGTGCATTAAGTGCTTAGTTATACATGCTCCTATTTCAGTACCTCCTGTATCTGATCTACCAGGTTCTCTGCCTTCTCTACAGTAACATCCTTCATAGAGAGTTTCAAAGCACCCACACCAGCCTGATAGGCATTAAACACCTGGAAGAAAAAGAAACAGAAGCACGATGTTAACTAAAAGCAAACACTGTCAGCACCTCTCAAGGCTCACTGCTCAAGCAGGGCGCTCATGGAGAAGTGAGCACACAAAATAAGAGCCAGAAGCATTTCTCTCAGAGCAATGCTCTGATATCAGAGCTGCTGCTTCCTCGAGCAGAGCATAAAGCCTCACCAGCTGGCTTGCAGGCAGAGGAACAGGTAAAGCAACACAAAAGGAAAGAGTGGGGCTAGGCTGAGAAGTCAGGAAGAACAGCTACCATCTGGTCGGTCTGGGAAGCGTAGATCCGATCCAAGATCCCCTGCACTGCATCCAGCTTGGAATGAAGCTCCTCAATGCGCCTTTCTGTCCTTCGTTTGGACTTCAGACATCTCAGAGCCTGCAGACATGGGACACAAACAGACCTGGCTCACCGACCAGGCAGAGCTCAAAGGGAACAGAATCACCCCTGCACAACAAGGCACACAAAGCTGCTGGTTTTAGGAGCTACATGTTCCCATTCTCTTCACCACGTCAGCAGGTCTGACAAAGCCATGCCTTCACCTTAAGGAGACCTCTGACAACAGAGACACTCTTCACACTCCTGAGATAAACCTTACCACACCAAACCTGGTCATTAGCTGTAGTAACCAACCAGCCCCAAGGCATTTAACCTGTCCTACTCCTCCTAAACAGACCATCACTTACCAGTTGCTTTTTCCCAGCTCTACAAGCATTCCGGGCATCTTCTTTACATCTGTACAGATGCAATAAGAGAGATTAGTCCTTTGCAAGCAGCAGTAGTTTGTGTTTCTTTCTTAGAAACAAACTTTAGAATTGCAGCCACCTTCACCACCTTGCACACAGCAAGCGACCAAGTACCCAGGAATTTCAGATTCAGCAGCCCTCAAGCCATCCTGCTTTTCACAAGTAACCCTTGGAAGTATTTCAGATCATTGCAAAGCTTCTGACATCCACTCACTGCATACAGTTTTCATAGGGGCAAGAAACAAGACCAGAAAGCCTGCCTTACAGCATTGCTGAAGATATTATGTGTACTTTCCTGGGAAAGAACAAGAAGGCAGCTTTGCTCTTAACTACCTAACAGGGGTACAGAGTTCTGCATCACACGGAAGTTCTTCCCACCACCCATCCCCAAATTACTTCTCTGCTTCCTGGGAAAGGGACTCCACCTTCTGTGACAGCAGCTGCTCGCTCTGCATCAGCTGATAGACTCCAATGTCCACGTCATTCATTGGAGAGACTTTGGCATGAAGTCCTCTGGCAAACTTCACTATCTAAAGGAAAAGCAGCAGCACACACTCGATTCACTCATCTCCACCATTTGTGCCTGCACTGGAAATATTTTCATTCTAACAGAAAGATGCTTTTACACCCGTGGTTTTGAGTCTTGTAACAGAGTTGAGGAGCCATGCCAGTATAATTTGGTATTAAATCAGATGGAATCCTGCCTTAATGAGCACCCTGATCACTAAAGCTGTCCCAGTACTTCGAACAGCGTGGGGCAGCATCAGGCTTCTAGGTTCTTCAGCACAGAGCCACAGCACCCAGCACTGCCAGCACACAGGGAGAGCAGAGCCTGCTCAGTGCTGCTGACAAACAGGGGGGGCCTGGGCATGAGGAGAGAAACCCCCGTCCCAGCAGCATGAACCCATTTCAGTTTGGGCAGCTGGAAGAGCTGCCAGCTGCAATACCTGCCAGTCTGTAAGCTACGTGGGTGATGCTCCAGATGGTGGATGGCAGCACACAAAACTGAATCTCATCTGTTATCAGGCTGTGGTGTTGGAACACATAGAATCGCTTTCCTCAAGTACAGAACGCACACCTTTGGCCAACAAAGTCCCTTCCAGCCAGATGAAACGTAAGACAGGGTTACACCTCCCCAAAGCAGTCACCTTGACCCTGTACCTTCTCTCCATTCTGTTCCAGGATTGTGACTTTCTTTTCCTTTTGCAGCTGGAGCAGCAGCAAGTAGAACGTTCTTTCATCTGGACAAACACCAGCGCAGAGGGAACGCAGCTCAGAGAGGGCAACGACGGGGTGAGATGAAAGCACAGAGTTCTGGTACAGGCGATAAACTTCCTCTGCTTTCTCCTGGAAGGACACAGGACAGCGGTCAGTTTCCTCTCAGCTATTTTTCAGCTCACGATGCCAAGCTGCACCTACTTCCTCTCACACACCAAAGGTAAAAAGCCAGGCCCAGCTTGGGTCAGGCTGACCTGCAGAACGAGGCAGAAACAACACCTGAAAACAACTACACTGCTGCTCCAATCCAAGCAGCAAGGTGGGCACTTCTACATTTCTCCTCCCCAGGAGTTTAAACCCCAAATGAACTTTTCTTCAATCCATGCAACGAGCTGAACTCACTGAGTCATTTTCCTGTGTAAACAAGGGAAAAGCTTTCCCCATTCAAAGAGAGGAACTACAGAAACAACTCCTCCCATCAACTCCTGAGCTCTGCATCGAGGCACGTGATGTTCCAGACACCTTTTGAAGTTTCCTCTTCCACACTGAAAGGAGTGTGCAATGCCCACCGCTGAGGAAAGTCACGGTGTGCTATCAGATCAACTACAAATAAAGGCACACACCCAAAGAGCTCTTGCATTTCTTCTAGCCCCAGTCATCCAGAGACCATCTGCACACAGCAGCAGTAAATCTGGTGCTTGTTTTAACAGCCACCAACAGAAAGGATCCCAGGATCCTGACTGCCAGCACAGCACTCTTCAATTCAGACTGTACATTCCTCTTGTATACCACACTCGCACCAACTCAAACCCGAGATGTACAGAGGTCTCACAGCAGACTTCTTGTCTTCCTGGGCAAGGCAGCAAGCCTGCCCTCTCATTTCTTAGATGTTAGCAAGAAGTCAACACATCAGCTTAGAGGAACATCCGCAGATCTGTTTCTGTACTCCTCAGGTGTACAGGAAAGCCTGAAGGCAGTCCTTTTTCAACCCCAAACCTTCCTCGCTAGCACCTAAAACTGCTCTTGTATTTTTCTGAAGGCTCTCGGCAGCACTTACCTGAAGTAGCTCCACATAAATCAGAACTTCCTCCTCCTCAGGTACTTTGCTGTCACCCAGCACACTTGAGAGCGTCCACTTCAGAGGCTTCAGGATGAAGACTCCCACACCCCAAGAGATCCAACTGCTGTCCACACTGGCCATGAAGTCTGACTCCCTCTGCATCTTGCCACGTCTAGAGAAAAGCCATGCATGCAGAAACGAATACAGTCAGCTCTTCCACCAGCAGCACAGAAAACAAAACAAAACAGCTTCTTCCAGGCTCACAGTTTCTGTGCTTTGTTACTTGAAACCAGTGAGGCACTGAACAGAGAAACTGATGAGGAAGTTCAGTTGCAAATTTCACGTCTGCTTCATTTGCGCATTAAATTGCAACAACAAAAAAAGAAAGGAACTCTCTGTATCTGAGAAATGTTACGTTGCACATGGATTCTGCTAAGCACTGCTGTCCTTGAATCATTTCAGGCTATCAGGCTAGTTTCACAAGACAAAACACTTCATTGCAAGCACAATGCATGCAGAACATCCCCACGTGCCCACACAACCCCACACACCATCAGAGCCACTCATCACAGCAACCATCTGACAGAATGTAACCCCACTTAACACCCAGCTCCTTCCTGCACCTACGGGTTCTCCCAGTGCAGCGCTTCCCTTGGTACTGCCCTCCCACAGCTCCTGCCAGCCCCAGTGCACATCCTTTGGGAAACCCCAAGCTCCTGACTGTGCTGCTTTACTTCATACAGAGCTCCCTCCTACGCAGCCCCACACTGACCTTTCTGTGCTCTCCCCTACTTTGCATGGTGCAAAACCTCTTCATACTCTTACATAACCCCTGTGCTTGATCAGCACTCAAGGGCACAACCACCCCCCCCTCCAGGGGCAGCACCCTTAGGTCCCCCTGCACCCACTGCTTCTCCAGCACCTCAATGCACTCCCCCTGCCATGGATACAGCTGACATTCTCTCAAGCCCCTCTCGCTGCCTGGCACAACACAGCTCTCCTTGCCTGCACACACAAAGCTCCCCATATCACAGCCCACCTATACAACAAGGGCCCTCCATACAGCCCCGCTGTGGGGTGGGCCCCCAATTCCAGGCACAGCCCCCTCCTACCCTCCAGAAGCAGCCCCTTAGCCATGCATTTCACCCCAAGCCCCTCTCTGTCTGTGTACCCCACTTAGGGTTCCTGGCTGCACCTGTCCATAGAATCACAGAACGGCCTGGGTTGCAAAGGAGCACAGTGCTCATCCAGTTCCAACCCCCTGCTATATGCAGGGTCACCAACCAGCTGCCCAGGCTGCCCAGAGCCACATCCAGCCTGGCCGTGAATACCTCCAGGGATGGGGCATCCACAGCCTCCTTGGGCAACCTGCTCCATGCCTCAAGCCCCCATCGCACAGAGCTCCCCAGCTGCATCCCCTCCCTTACACAGACCCCTGCCACTCTCCCCAGCTCAATAATCGGACACAGGGAGGTAATTCCAGGCACAGGATCTCCCCAGTGACTGCTTCACTCCTGAGTTCTCACCCCCATCCCCAGCCCCATCACCTCGCAGCCCCTCAGCCCATCACACCGCACCCCCGGTCCCACAGCCCCGCACTCCCATCGATCCCATCGTGTCCCCCTCCCCTCGATCCAGGCTGCTGTTCACCGCCCGGCCCTCAGGCCCAGCCCGCAGCCCCCGCTACCTGAGCAGCTCCCGCAGTACGGTGCCGAGGCCCAGCGGCACGCTGCCCCGCCGCTCGAAGCCGTTCTGCAGCTCTCGCAGACAGGTACGAACCGCACCGCGGCGGCGGCCCCGGCCCAGCACCAGCCCGACCCAGAAGGCCATCTTGCTGTCCCACTCGGTGCTGTTCACTTCGCGGCTCTGCTTAAAAGCCGAGAACAGAAAAGCCATACGCTCGTCGTCCGTCTCCCACTCGGGCGGCAGGTCCCCAGCCGGGGCCGGCCCAGGGGGCGCCCTCCCCGGGCTGCACATCTACGCGAGCCCCCGGCTTCGCCGCGGCCTCCGCCCGGCCGGGACCCGCCTGGCTGCCAGGGACGCGCAAAGCGCATGCGCGCTGCTCCCCCCACCGCTGTCCTTTGTGTGGGCCGCTCCGCGCCGCCTCCCCCCCCCACCGCCCGTCGTGGTACGGCCCTGCGCATGCGCTGTAAGCGCGGCCGCCATTTTGGGCAGTGGGGCGGTGGAGGGGAGTACGAGTGGGAGCTCTTCGTTCTTCTCCACGTGGCTGCATGGAACTTCGGTGGTGTGGGGCTCGCAGCGTGCTCTGGGCTGCCGGTCACAGCTCTGAGGGGCTGCTGTGAGCGAGCAGCGTGTGGGGGGCACGGCAATGCCTTGCAGCAGGGCTGGCGGTGTGAGAGCACCGTGCTGCGCACGTGGAAACCCCGAAAACCTCAGGGTTGGGTCAGCGATCCCCTCCAGCGCCGAAAAACACCGCATAAATGCCGTGTAAACAGCGCACGGTGTGTGCTGAGCGTGGCCCCCAGCGCTGGCAGTTCTCGCTGTTTTTTGCATAGCAGATAATCTCACATTCTCCAAAAATACTTTCCGTGGCCCTCTCGGTGACAATGCTTTAAGATCGACCCTCCTTACGGTTCCGAGTCTGGGTGGGTCGTGTAGGGCCCAGGGATCCCAATAAATAGGGATAGGACGAGGAGAAATGACCTGTAGGGGGGGAAGGAGAGGCTGACATTGGATATTTAGGGAATAAATCTCGTAAAGAGGGTTAATGCTTCAGCACGGGCGGCCCGGGGGGGGGTGGCGCTGCCTCTGGGGCTGTGGTGGAACCGCGGGATGTGGCACACGGTCAGTGAGGATGGGTTGGGGCTGGATTTGGGGTCTGGAGGTCTTTTCTATGCACGGTGACTGTGAATACCAGCATGCCATCGCTGCCAGGGGTTTCTTCCTGTGGAGTTTTCAGACTGAGAAAAGAAGGGGAGGCAAAGGCTGTTCCTCAAGCAGAGCTGCCAAGGTTTTGCTATTTCTATATCTCTGCACCCGCCGTATGTGCTGTTTCTTACCCTGCAGAGAAAAGGACAGCTCTGCATTTCAGCAGAAGGCTCCAGGAGCCGTCCTGCTGCTGCACAGCTCCTTGGAACTGCACTCTTTGCACTGAATCCCTGCATCTTGCGTGCAGTTCTCCTTTAAGGTTTATGGCTGTGGGTAAGCACGAAGGCTCATCCTCAGTTGCCATATCTCAGAGTGTGGAGTTTGGAAAACTGTGTTTTGCTTTATGGCTTGCTTGTGCCCTACCCGACCCATGGCCATGGTGAATGAAAGCCATTGCTGACCCTTTCGGAGGGCTCGGTGTGGCCTCTTTGGCTCTCTTGGATGCTGCAGGGTCCTGGAGCAGCCTTTAAACATGCTCTGATCTGTGCTTTAAATTAGCAGATGACTCAGCAGAGCCAAGAGACTATTTTTATCTCCTTTCAGCCAAGCTGAGATTTCAAATTAGTCATTTCGGTGTTGCCCTCAAAATTACACTGCCTTGTAACTGTGAAGCCATTGATACCCAGGAACCAAAGCCGTTCTGCACAAGGGAGGGTGCAAAGCAAAGCAAACACCGCGAACAGGAAGCTGAACCACGAGGTCTGACCACGAGGCCTCATCACAGGAACCGCACAGGGCTGTGTTTAAACACCTGGGGAAATCAGCCTTGAACCTTTGGCTGCTGGAGAGAGGCATCACGTGTTCACCCGTGAAAGGAGCCAAGTGATGATCCTCATCCTGCACAAGAAATCCCCTCCTGACCTGTGGGAAAACAATACAAAGTGGACATGGGGTGATATTTGACAGGAGAACGTATCTGGGTGTGCTTTTTTTGGAGGAAAGGTTCAAGAAATCGGTGGCTAATTTGTTTTGCATTGGCACAGAGAGGTGGAACAGCAGCAGCTTGGTCCCTTTGCAGGGTCTCAGGTTTATGGGGTGAGCCTGGGGGGGTGGCAGCAGGAGGCTGCAGGCTGCTCTGGGGCACTGTGTGGGCTTTGTAACCCCCTGGGAAGGAACTCAATGAGGCTTTATGCAGTGCTGATCATTTCAACCCCAGACACACCGAGCCGGAGCTCTGCAGTGGTGTCGAAGCATACAGATGCTCAGCTGGGATAAGGAACCTGCAGCACTGCAGCCCTCATCCCACTGGAGCTCTCCCTCATTCCAAGGCCCCTTTTAAGTCTGTTTTCAAGGGCACAGAAAAGGGGAGGGATGGGAAGAGCAGGAAAAGGGGTCGGTCTGAGTTCAGCAGTCCAAGCATCCCACTGTGCAGAAGGGAATGGGGAACCCAGGGCTCTGCGGCTTGCCCAGGGGGAAACCAAGGTCTGTTCTCATGGAGTTCACAGCCAGGCTGCCCATGAGTCCCTCATTCCACTTACAAAGAGGAACCTGGTATTTATGAGCCAAATCTGTTTTTATCCAGAGGGGGAAGTTCAGAATTATCAGATGGATTCCCAAGGCATCCTGTGGTTCTGTGACACAGCTTGGAATTGAGGGGAGGGGAGGGAAGGGAAGGGAAGGGAAGGGAGAAGCTGACCTCACCCTACATGATGAAACCAATGTTCATTAGCCAGGAGAACAAGAAGGGCTGATAAGAGTGAGCATCCCATGCAGCCCTTTACGGCAGGCATCATCTGTGAGTCATTAATTCCCACTTTGCTCCCACACCTTCCCTGCTCCCTGGAGGCAAGCTGTGCTCCTTGCACTCGTTTTATTTACCACCTGCAGCAGAGCCGTGGAAGAGTGAGAATTTGGTGATGTGTAACAGTGGAGGTGCCCCATTGCAGTGCACTGAACTCACACCCAGTGCTTCTGCTCTGCAGCCTCCCTGGGTTTGCAAGGAGCCGGGCTGCAGGCGATAAGCACGCAGAGCAGCCTGTCCTGGGCTGATAAATCCTCTCCTGCCTGAATTCGGTGCAAATCAACCTTACATGGAAACGTTCTGCACGTCTGGCTGGAAATTCTGGCCAGGTGGGTGGGTGGGTGATGTGAGTGTGTGTGTGTGTATCCCTGCCTGCAAAGCACTGCTGCCCCAATGGGCTGTGAGCACCCACGTGCCGAGCATAAAGCTGCCTTTGTTCAGAGCTGTGCAAAAACACGACGTCTGCGGTTGTTGGCACGGATCATTCCTGGTCCAAGCTTTATAAATAAGAGGTTTGTGGCTGCGGCTTCCTAGCGAGGATGAGGAGTCTGGGTCCTGAGTGCTGGTGTGGATAAGAGTTCTTATTTCCAGCACTAAATTAAGTAAGTGCTGCTCAGAATGGGAACCGAAGTGCCTGCTGTTAACTGGAAGAATGTGGAGAAAAGGAGCAAACAGCCTAAAGCTGGGGAAATGTCTGCATGCTGTGTGTGTGCAAGGTATCCCATCAACAGCAGCAGGTCGGGATGTCGGTCCTTCCAGTCCTGCTGAACATGCAGGGCTGGGGAGCAATGTTTGCTGTGAGCTAACTGGGAAAATCAGCTGCCTGCAAAGTGCTGCATGACCTGAGCTGGGTGAAGTCATTGGGTTTGGTTAAGCAAAGGGCGCTGCATGCTTCTGGGGTTGCTAATGCCCCAGGAAACAACCACTGGTTCATCTTTCTGCTTTAAATCGCACTTGAGTTGAATTGCACTCGGCGTGGACGAGCCCTGCTGTCTGCAGGATGGATTTCCAATTCATTGCCACACCGAGGGGATGCTGCCAGCTGCCCCAAGCTGTCACCTGCAGCCCCGCCGGCCCCATTGCAGCTGCTGAGCATCACTGCTTTCCCCTCCATCCCAAGCTGCCAACCGTGCCCTGTTCTCACCCAATGCGTGGAGCCGCACCATTTATCGCTACCCAGAGCCTTCTGCCTCCGCTCTCACCTGCAATTTCTCTGCCTCGGGCGATGCTTAAAAAGGACCCGGCGCTGAAGGGTTATTTAACTCAGCCTGGTGAGTCACCTCTAGGGAGGGAGCCCGGAATTCTTGCAAGCTCTGAGCGCTCGGCATGAGTTACACTAACCCAGAGTTCAAGGTTAGAGAAAGATTAACAAGGGACTGCATTTCTCTGCTCTGCTTTTGGGGTAGTTTTAATTCCACCCCATCCACAAAACCCCGCTGCAGAGACCCGTTGTGTAACAGCAGAAAATCCGGAGGTTTTCCTGCTGTTTTTGTGTGTTTTTTTTTTCTTTTCCCCCTTCATTGAATTTTTCTCCCCAAAACGATCCGGAATTCCCCGTTTTCCGGCTCAGTGGCGATGATGGGTTCATTCTGCACTGCTCTGCCCTGTTCTCCCTACAACCCCATCCTCCATATCAAAGAACCTCAGTGAGAAGATGCTGAGCAAAGCCCTCATCTCTCCCGAGAGCTTCAAGAACAGAAGTTTGGGCACGAAAATCCTTTATATATGTATTAAAAAAAAAGTCTAACAAATCAATAATAAAAGCGTGTGAAACGCGAGCCAGGTTCAGCTTTCCCTCTCTTAGTGATTCTGCAGCGAAACTTGCTGCGGTTTCTCGATACGTGAGTTTGTGGCGGTGCCTGGAGGTCGTGGCCAGCCCTCTTCCTCCTTCTCCTCCTCCTCCTCCTCCTCCTCCCTGTGTCACCAACGATCCCGGCAGTTGCTCACATTGCTTCACATCGCTCCGCTCGGCGAAGCTGTCAGCTCGTGGAATTCACTGGTGGTTCGGACCAGGTCCCGTTTCGGACCAAACCCCGTCTTCACTCGATCCGAATCCGGATCCCAGCCCGGGAGCGGCGCGCCTCTCACCGCGCACGATGCGCTCAGCTGCGCTCCGCTTCTGCCCCGTCCTGCTGCTGCTGTTGGCGGTGCGTGGATGGGGGTGGGGGGCTGGGGGGGGGGGGGGGGGGGCGGGGGCCCCCCGGGGGGATGTTTTGGGGTCTCGGGATTCCCGGAGGTGCTGCCCGATATCGGCGCGGCATGTCCGGGCTTGTCGCACCGTCGAGGGGGTATGGAGAGGTGGGGATGGGGGCGGCTTTTGTATGGGAAGTGGTGGGGTGGGAGGCAAGGGGGGTGTTTTTACGGGAGATGGGGATAAGGGGGGGGTGGAACAGGTGGGAGTCTGTGGGAATGGGGGTGTAGGGGTTCACGTGGAGTGGGGGGGTGATGGGGGAGTGTAGAGGATTGGAGTTCTCCTTTAGCGGGAATTTCTGGTCGGGGGGGGGAGGGGGGGAGTTCGGGAGTTGCGGTCACCCAGATCGGAAACTATGGGGGGAGCCGAGGGCATGGAGGGGCTTCCCGGATCTATGGGCTATGGAAGGGGCAGGGGCTGTGGGGGGCTCCCCTGGTCTAAGGGCTCTGCGGGGCTCCCATGATCCCGGGGGCTGTGGGGGGCTCACCTGGCCCCCAAACAGGGGGTGGTGAGGCTATGGGGCCGCTTAGCTGGCCTGGGGGCTGTAGGGAATGCTGGGGCTCCGGGGGCTCAGCCATCAGCAGTACTTTGGTGACGCCCATGGGATGGGAGCGGTGGGCTCTCCTGGGTGGGTTTGTAGGGGACAGGGGTGTGTGGGGCCGAGGCTGTGGGGCACGGAGGGGGGATGGGATGGGCTATCGGCCCTTTGGGCGTGTGGGGCTTGGGGACAGCAAGCCCAGCCCTATGGGGGATGGATTCCTACTGCGCTGCCTGGCTGGGAGGGAATTCCCCGCTTTTTGCTTGAGAGCCATTTTGTTGTCGGTGACCATCGGGAACATTCGGCAGCGTTGAGGTCTGGAGGTGCAGTGTAGGAATGCATCACATCAGCCCATATGATGGGTGCCCAGAACTCAGCGCTGATGGCAGCCAGGGCCAAAACTCCACTGCGCACCATTCGTGTTCCTGCGTGGATGGGTGGTGCCCAAAGTGTGACATACCTACAGCCTCACCTCACCTGGCCCCACAGAAATGCACCCCCGAGGCTGGGGGAGCTGGATTGTGATTTGTGCCATCGCAGAGGCACTCAGACCCTGGTGGGGTGCCCACCGTCCAACCCTAAAAGAGCATCAGCTTCTCATCCGGTTCCTACCATGTGCAGCTTATAGGAATTCAGTGACTGAGATGCTGTTTTCCAGCATCTTAAAGCCTCGCTGATGCCAGCACCTGTGGAGGCATTCAGAGCAGCCCCTTATTTGACTGCTTAACTCGGTGCTGCACATAGCTGTCACCCGATGCTGCGCCGCTGCCCCTTGCATCATGCCTGGAGTTGGGCCACCAGCACATGAGGGTTGTGTGCAATGGCTCTGGATCTGCCAGAGCTCAAACTCCAACTGCGTAAAGCCCGGTGGGAAAACCCCTTTGGTGTGGCTGGAAATGGTTCAGGGCTTACTTACAGCCTCTCTTCCCAAAATGGAGAGCTGGCGTTGTGTTAATGCCATCAGGACGGTGTGAGGTTCCATGTGGGATCGGTGCTGCCATGGTCCAGTGCCTCCCTTGGGTAAAAAAAGGCAGAAAAGAAGGAAAATGCACGGAGTTCTGCTTTGAGCAGATGAGGATATTGGATTCCTCTGCCTGGCGGTTCCTCCAGCGCGGTGCTGGGGTCGTTTCCTGCGCACGTGGGTTCTGGCCCTGGCTGCTTTGCAGGGCTGCCATACGGGCTGGGAAGGCTGGTAACTTTATCGTGCACAGTTCTGTTTTGTGACAGTGATGAAATCCCACACACGAAGGGCCCTTCCGAACGGCAGGCGGGGTTGTGGTGTTGGTGAGATCAACTGTGCAGGGTTTGAATGGGGAAGAGCTTTTTCTCCCCATGAGGACAGGCAGTGCGCTCTCCGTCCGTGAAAACTCCCAGGTCTCGGTTTGGTGAAGCCCTAAAAACTGCAGAGGTGGTGGAAGGCAAAGGATTTACGTCACACAGAAAAAGGCTTTTTGTCCTTCATAAACACCCAAACGGCTCAGGCAGGCGTTTTGACCCGGACCTGAGTTGCTCTCATTTCTCTTCTTGCTCCCTGCCCCAACGCAGAGGAGGTGGGGAGGTGGAGAGCTCCAGGAATGCTTCCTCAGAGCAATGCTGATGGTGAGCGCAGGGCTCGGTCCTCCATTATGGAGGTGTCCCCTCCATGTCATTGTTTCCCCGTGCCCACACCCTTCCTTGCGGAAAGTGATGAAGAGGAAGAGGGGGGGCCAATATTGCTCCTGCAGTGCCTTGGAGGTGCTGCTTCAGCGTTTCTGACTCAGGGAAGAAATATGTGCTCTACGAGGCGGGCTATGGGAAGGGCACAGCGCGGGTACGGAGCCTCTGCCACATGTCCCTGCGCCCTGTCCTGGGGCCCCAGTGGTGTGGAAACGGTGGGAGCAGCTCAGCCTTCCTCCCCACCGCCTCCCTTGCTGCTCTGCATTATCCCTGCACAGCACCGTGCTGCTTTCTTCCGTTCTGTTGGTTCACGTGCTCAGAAACTGGGGAAGGAAAGCAGGCATAATCGGGTCCAGCAGCTGCGGGTTGTCCCGGTGCGATGCTTCTCCTCTGCACCAAGGGTTTGGGGTGTTTCTAACCCATTTTTCCTGTGCTTTTAACAGAAGGTTCATTTGGGATCTGCTGCGGCAGTGAAGAAGCGGGCAGGCGAGTCAGATGTCCTGGAACCAGACCTCTACAGCAAGAAGTGTCCTATGGGTAAGGCAGCCACAAGAATCACTCCGTGCAACTCAGTGACAGCAGAAGCAGCTCTTGCTGCAAAGACATCTCCACGTCTTGGCAGCGCCGTGTCTCCAGTGTGCTGCATTAACTCGTACTTCTTTCCGTTTCACCCCTTCTTGCAGGCACCTATTTGGCAAATGACTCCTCCAAGTTCCTCCCATGTAAGAAAGATGAGTACACCGAGTATCCAAACGACTTCCTCAAGTGCCTGGGCTGCCGGACGTGTAGGGAAGGTATGAGGTGGTGTGAGGGAGGGTTGCTATCAGAGCTTCTGCATAAGGAGTGAGGACATCTGCAGCAGCCCTGAGGAGCAGCTCGTGCTGGGTGTGCTTGGGATGGAGGGAGCAGGCTGCATCCTGACCTGGCGCACTGGATACTTCCAGATCTGCATCTCCAAGCGGCACAGCATCCCTTGTGCAAAGCAGGGATGTGAGTCCTCCAGCAAGGACTGAGGGGGGTTGGGCGCATGGCGGTGCTTGCAGGCTGCTGCAGGAGCTTTAATGCAATCATTGCTTTGGCATGCAGGCATGGCAAAACTCCACCCTGGGGAGCAAGCTGGGCTTCCCTGGGCTTGTGGGTTGTTGGCTGCATGGGGGAGCGGATGGGAGAGCCTGAGCAGAGCTGTGTTGCTTCTTGCCCACAGACCAGGTGGAGGTGAGTCCCTGCGTCCCCACCAGGAACACGCAGTGCGCCTGCAAGAACGGCACCTTCTGCTTACCTGACCACCCCTGTGAGATGTGCCAAAAGTGCCAAACCCGGTGAGTTGGGAGCTGGGGAGCTCTTGGGCTGCTGGGGGGATCCCCGGGTGCTGAACCTGCCCCATATCCCCCATTCCAGGTGCCCCAAAGGACAAGTGAGGATAGCTCCATGCACGCAGCACAGCGACCTGCAGTGCGGTCCTCCCTTGGACATCTCCTCCAGCTTCTCCAGTGAGTTTGGGATGGGGAGAGGGATGGAGGATTGGGGGCTGCTGTTGTGGCAGCAGCTCCCCACACCCCCGTGTTGTCTGCTTTAGCAGGCATCATTACCATCATCGTGCTGGTTGTGGGCCTGGTGTTCCTGCTGGTGTTCTTATGCTGGTGCTGCAGACACTACGGTGCAGGTGAGGGGGATCGCGGGCCGTAGACGTGGGGTCCTCACCCCACAGGGTGTGGGCAGGAAGGGGACGTCCTGTGGAGAGGAAGGGTGACAGCGCTGCTTTTTCTTCCAGGGGGTGGCGGAGATCTGTGCAGGAAGCCCAGCACCGTGGTGGTGAGTTGTGCTGGGCTTTGCTCTGCTTGCTCCCTGCATTGCTTGCAGCTCATGGGAATGCTGTAGTGAGGGGGGGGTGGTTCACCTGCAGCCCCCGCTGCCAGGATGGGGGGCTCCAGCTTGGCTGCTCTGCGTTTCTCTTCCAGCAGAACAGACTGTTGCAGAGGATGGGGATTCAGGACAACAACTGCAATGAGCAGATCTACCTGAACCAGCAGCAGAAGCAGCAGCTGCTCGCCGCAGCGCAGGGCTCAGAGGTTCCCCGTGGTGTGGAGATGGAGGTACGGCACTGCATGGCTGAGCTCTGCTGCTTTCCTCCGCCTTGAGCTGATTAACTCAAGGCCTTCCAGAGCTGAACCAGGGTGTCTGCATGAAGATGGAGGGAAGGAGGAGATGGGAATGGAGATGGAGATGGGCATGGAGATGTTCTATGCCCATAATCTTCGTTCTACACTCAGTAGTGAGCAAATCTCCCCCTGCCCAGCACCCATGAGCTATCAGGATCCTGGTGTTAGGAACCCATCACCCCCATTGAGGAGCATCCCAGGGCTGCATGGCAATCTCCTGCCACAGCAGTGCCCAGAGATGTTCCCTGACCCCACTGTTAGCAGGGTGCGGGGATGGTGCTCATGCCAGAGCTCTCTGGGTGCTGTAATACGCTTCTTTTTCAGGAGGTGGCACCAAGAACTTCAGATCCCAACGTGGAAACCCAGAAGAAGCTGGTTCCAGTGCCAGGAAAGGACCCCCTAAGCGGTAAGTGTTGGGATGTGCTGGTGGGCAGGGATGGGCTGAGCCTGAGGGCTCTGAGAAAGCTCTTCCAGTCCAGATATCCGCATTTGCTGAGCTTCTCCCTTCTCATTCCAGTTTTGTCTTCCTCTTTCAACACCTTTGTCGAGTTTGTGCCCTTCCCTGAATGGAGGAGATTCGGCCGAACCCTCGGTCTGCGGGAAAACAACCTTTATCAGGCAGAGCAGAACGACAGAGGCTCAGGGGAGCCCTTATATCAGATGCTCAACATGTGGCTCAACAAAGAAGGCAGCAAAGCCTCCGTGAATACACTGCTGGAGACCCTGTCCCAGATCAACCTCAGCGGCGTGGCAGACCTAATTGCCTCCGAACTCGTTAGGAATGGATATTTCCAGTATGAAGTGAGCTGAGGAGCGCAGCCAGCCCTGCTCCTCCCCAGCTGGAGCTGAAGATGCGGATTCCTCTGAGAACCTTTATCTTGATCTTTGTGATAGTATTCTCACGGCTCCTTCCTCCCGGAGCCGTCGCACTGCTCAGCTGAGCCTGGAGGAGTCGATCCCAGCTGGGTTCTTCTCCGCCACACTCAGCGTTGGTGCTGCCTTATGGAAGCCACGCGAGTGCCTTGATTTCATTTGGCCGACGCAACGAGCCAAAGGGTCTTCCAAGCTGCTTTTGAGATCATCTCATTTACCAGCACTGATTTTATACAGACCTCGGTGCAGAACTGCATCTTTGCTTGGTGCGGGCACTCACTGATTCTTAACTGGATCAACGTTTTTAATTTTTTAATTTTTTTAGTGATATTCTGCTTGTAGAACATCTCCGAGCCGACCGTTACGCTTCGTACTGCATGCGTGGTGGGCGAGCATCCCTGGGGCTCTTGGGTTACCCTCTACGATCCATTTAGAGTTGCATTTGTAGCTAGTTCTGCTTGCCCTTAGCAGTAGACACAAGGCTGTAGCAGTGGGGTTGGAACTGGATGATCCTCAAGGCCCCTTCCAACCCAAGTCCACGATTCTATGACTGCAGGCGACGCGGGCGCGATTCATCGGCGCTGAGGCGGCTGAAATAAGGGCGGCTCGGCTCATTCCCATTGCCAGGGCCGTGGGGGCCCCCAGCTGGCTGGGTTGCTCCTCCACCTGCAGGGAGGACGCACAGCTCAGGGATGAGGTGCTGCAGGGCGATGGAGCTGCAGCCCAACCTGGAGCTCCCCCTGCGCGGGCGCAGGTTTGTGGGCAGCCCCCCCTGCGCCCCTTTCCGTCCTCTCCAGCCCTGTGCCAAATACCAGCAGAACTTTTGTATTTATGTATTTATTAATTGCAAACGTGTACATACGTTAACTTATAATATAAAAATAGCTGGTTGTTTTGTTTTTTTACTATGTGTGATGGTGTGTTTTTATACAGAGCTCTGGCCCAGCCAGTTAGTTTTATCCAGGATTTTTTTTTTACACGTGTCTTTATGAAGGAAGAATAAACTTAAAAACAACAACAATCCTGATTCCTCATCCCTTTTTCCCCTTTGCTTTGCCGTTACGTTTTGGCTTCGCATGCCCTGGACACTGCAGAGCTCTGCATCCCCACCAGCAATGCTGCTGCAGGTCCTCAGCAGCAAACTTCTGCTGTTTTGCCACGGGTCCCATGCTCTTTAGCTGCCTGTAGAAGCAGGAGGCTGCAAGCTCGGTCCCTGGTGCAAACAGGCTGTGTGCTGCTGGAGCTGCAATGCAAATCCATGCGGTGCTTGCAAAAACCCCAGAGCTGCCCCCAGCCATCCTGCTGGATCACATGCAGGGCATTTCTCATTGCAAGCACCCAAAGCAGGAGCTGCCAGCACGGGGAGGGGGGACAACAGCCTGGCGCTGTGCTCTGCATGCAAACCCAGCAGGGGCAGCTCCTGCAGGACATGCACGGTGGGGATGCTTTCCAAAGGGAACAAAACCTCATCCTACCTGCTGCAAAGCATTGCACCTGCTGCATCTGCTCCTGTGCTCCCGCATCCACGGCTGAGCATCCAAAAAGAGCGGTGACACAGAGCATCACCCAGGAGCATCGCTGCCACGGGATCTGGGTTGTTAAGGGCTGCATCCTTGTGGTGCTTCTCCGCTCCTCCCAAACACACAGGGACTACGCTGGGCTTTTCAAATAGCATTTATTACAACGGAGCCTTTCAGGCTCGGCTCCCAGGCTGGGAGCGTGGGGTTGGGTGTTGGGGGTGGGGGTTGGTGGTTTCTTTTGGCTTTTTTGGTGGTCTTATATATATATATATATGTATATATATATAATTTTTTTTTTTTGCTTCAAATTTCTTTTTGGTGAAACGTGTGCACCCTGGGCTCTTGCACTGCTGAGGCCCAAACTTTCCACAGGGAGAGGTGGAGGAGAGGGGCTCCTGTTCCCAGCAGTTGCCCAAACTGGGACGGCCCTCCATGGAAGCGGATGGAGCTGCGGTGCGTGGCTCCTGCAGCCAAGTAGGATCCTCTGCTTGGTCCTCTGGGGACCGGGCTCCCTCCTCACCCTACTGCAAGTCCAAGGGGCAGCAGGATGGCATCCCACAAAACCCAACCCTACCCTGCAGCTCCTGGTTACAACTGAAAGGTGGAAGCAGGACGCTTCTCTTCTTCTTCCTCATGCGGTTGATGTTGGAAAGAAAGAATGAATGAAAACAAAACCAGACAGCCCTCGCGCTCCTGTCACCTCTTCTCCTGCTGCTTTGTGCCAGTCCCGGCGCTGGCACGTGGACAGCAGAGCCCTCGCTGTGGGGATGCACTCCCTCCATCTCCTGGGGGCACCCATTGGTGGCACCCAACGGGCGCCGGGCGGCCTTCCTCCTCCTCATCTCCTGGAGCCGCAGCAAGGATCAAACCACAGCCGAGGAGGAGGAGGAGGAGGAAGAGGAGGAGGCTGTGGCCGCTGACGATGAAGGAGAGGAGGAAGGGGAGTTCCAGAAGAGCCACCGCCTCTTGGGCTGCCGTTTGAGGTGGAGGTAGTCTTCCTTCTCCCGCTCCTTCTTGGCCCGCTGGTAGTGGTCCTCCTCCTTCAGGTACCACACCGGCGGCCAGCGGTGCTTCTCGAAGTACTCCTGGTTCTCTGCGGGGACATCGGGGGTGAGCACAGTGCTGGGTGTCCCCAGCGTCCCCACCGCCCCACACCGACCGCGCTCACCTCCCGACATGGCCTTCATGTCGCGGGGAAACTTGCGGCAGACGTTGTTGTAGTTGGTGCAGATGTGGTGGAGGCACCAGTCGGCGAGCTGGTAGGCGCAGTGGAACTGCGGGAGATGGAGCACGCGTCAGAGCCACCGTGGGGACCTCATCCATCCCAAGGTCCCCAATCCCCGCGGGCATCAAGGACCCGATCCTGCCGTCCTCTCTGCAGCGGCGGTGTCACCCCCACCTCGTTCATCCCATCCCACCTACCTGTGCCAGCTCCAGGAATACCAGCACGTCCCCATCGATGTCCACCATCATCTGCGCAGCTTCCATCAGCCCGGTGACGGTGTACTGCTCTGTGGGTGACACAGGGGCTTAGGGGGGCAGTTGGGATGGGGTGATTAGAGAGCTGCCACCAAGTTTTGGGGGCACCAACTCACCGGTAAGAGCCACCAAGTGGGGCAGGCAGAGGCGGTTGGCCAAGATGATGAGCTTCATGTCATCGAGGTCAGGGCTGGAGCTGAACTGCCCCGTGTAAAGATACTCCAGCACGGCCCGCATGCAGCTCTTGCTGGTGTAAGGAAGTGCCACCTGCAAGAGTCACACCCATGGTGGCGATGGGTCAACAGCTGGACTTGATCTTGGAGGCTTTTTCCAAGCTTTATGACTCTATGATTCTATGGGCACGGTGGGGACGGGTTGATAGTTGGACTTCATGATCACGGAGGTCTTTTCCAACCTAAATGCTTCTATGATTCCAGCGGTCACCCCATGGCTGTCCCACACCCTCCCTGAGCGCATCCTCACCTCATTAGTGGAGCTCTCCACGAAGGGACCGCCGAACATCGCGGCCATCCAGTCGCAGCTGGAGATGAGCAGGGGCTTGTGGGCACTGATAGCACCGTCATCCAGCACGAAGGTGACATCTGCAAATGAGCAGAGGGACGGCCCTGTCACACAGGGCTCAGCCATCCCCACCACAGGACACCAAAGGCAAGGAGACAGAAGGACAAACGCACGGCCCTGTACTCTGCCCTAAGGATGTGTTTGTTTTCCAGCATCCTCCAAGGAACTCAGGCAAGGGCTACGTCACCCACGGCACCGTGCACAGCCCTGCCCAAGGGCATTCCCAAGGTGAACAGTGTTGGAAAGCAAAGGGCGAAACCTGGGGAGAAAAGCCTCACCCACACGCTGCAGAGCATGTCCCCATCCTCCTCCCTGCTCCTCACAAGGACGAGCATCCCCTGTTCTGCTCTACCCTGGGCTGTTCCAGGGCTCCCACAGCCCCCCTTGGTCTGTCCATGTGAACCAATTCAGCTAGAGGGAGAACGTGGTGTTGCATGGCCTGGGATGGCGCTTGGAGGTGAAAACCCCAGAAACGCAACGCCTGTAAGTGAGCACCACCAAAATCCCAAGGAAGGCAGAGCACACGGCGTTTCAGAGCGTTGGTACGGGCAAGAGAGAAGGGGACGGGGTCGTACCCGAGAAAGTCCCCTTGGCCAGGCATTCCTTCACCCGGTTCGTCCTCCGGACGTGGAAGGCTTTGGTGATCTCCTGGTTCATGAACGCCTCATTGTTGAGGATGTTGGCCACCATCATGCGGAGGTCGAACACCTCCAGCAGCTCCGCGATGTGAGCGATGTGCATGAGGTCCCGCTCCTTCTCATCCAGCTCCCCGGTGTACAAATACTTCAGCACGGCCCGGAAAGGGCCCGGTTGGATGGAAGCATCCATCTTCACCACCACCATCAGCTTGGATTTGTAGGTCAACGGGTCTTCGGCCATCTCCTCCTGGATGCTGATGAAGGCCCGGCTCCAAGAGGAGAGGTCCCGTCCCCGTCGCAGCCCACGCTCCCCGTTCTCGTAGCGGTTCCCCCGTAGGATCCCATCACTGGTGGAGGCTCTAAGGCACGGTTTTCGCTGGCCGGAGCCGCCCTCCTCGGTGCTTTCACAGATATCAAAGCTCGCAGCTCGGAGGAGGAAATCCCGTCCGTGATGCCTCTCCTCTTGGTGCAGCATCCTCTCGGCCGCTGCGGTGACGGCAACCCCAAAACCATGCCCTGCACTGCTCTGCTGGTCCTCCTCGCTCAGGTCCATGAGGAACAGGTCGTAAAACTTGGAGGAGGAGGTGGAGAGGTAGATCTTGTGAGCGTAGATTTTGATCTTCTCTTGCAGCACCAGGATGACGTCCGCACACAGGGGGTCCTCCAAGAGGTGGGCCGGGTGCTCCTCGTTGTTGGACGGGGGATCCGGCACCACGATGATGGGCGGAGGGGGCCTGGGGGGCAGGAAGGGGGCTTGGAGGAGGGGCCGCTGCACGTTGCGTAGATGGGACTTCCAGAACTGCAGGTGACGGCGGGAGATGAGGGCGGCACGGATGGCGTTGTCGAAGACGTCCTTGATGCCAAACTGAGCCACCACGCTCGTCTCGTAATAGGGGATCCCCAGTTCTTTGGCCACCTCCCTTCCCTTCTCCGGGGGAAGGATCTCGTTGGGTTTGATTGGCCTGGAGAAGAGGAAATCATGAAGGTGATGAAGAAACCTCGTATAATAAAGAAGATAACGTCCCATCCCTGGAGACACCCAAGGTCAGGCTGGATGGGGCTCTGAGCACCTGACCGAACTGCAGGTTTCCCCGTTCATTGGAGTTGGACCAGACGGCCCCTTCCAGCTCTATGAATCTACGGCCTCTTTGCATGCATGGCAAGGAGAAAGGATTTGGGGGCACGGATGTCTCCCACCTGGCCAAGGGACGCCGTGCCCGGTTGACGGCCTCCAGGTCGGCGTAGCGCAGGTCCAGCTGGCAGCCCACCAGGATGACGGGCGCGCGGGGACAGAAGTGTTTGATCTCCGGGTACCACATGGTCTTCACATGGTGCAGGGAGTTGGGGTTGGCGATGGAGAAGCACAAAACCACGACGTCGGATCTGAGAGGGGGAAAAAAGGGTCAAGATCCACCCGGGTGACGGAACCTCCCACCTCAGCACGGGGTTCTCCTCTCCCCTACCTGCCATACGCAAAGCGCCGGTCTTTGTGGTGGTCTCCAAAGGTGTCCCAGAGCCGCAGGGACACGCTAACATCATCTACCACATCCCGCGAGCGCTCCAGCACCTGTGGCAACGAAAACGCTGTGAATCCTGGAGCTCTGCGTGAAGAAAGTCCCCAAACCCTCCCAATGGGGCAGTCCCACCGAGGGGACCAGCCCACCAAAGGGACGACGTGAGTTTTCCCCGAGGAATTTACTCCTCCAACTCCATCCCGATCCCCACGGGGTTCGTCCCTCACCTCCTTACCATCCAAGCAAAGGGACCATTGCCACCAAGATGACCATCCCACCAAGGGGCCA